AAGTAAAGGATAAGAAAGATCATGTTACCAGAGCCAACAATACCTGGTCAGTGCTAGCAATGAAAATAAGAAGAATTGCCCTATAAGAATTGCCCTGTAAGAAAACATGGCATAGTAGTAGATAAATATGAAGCACAACCTCCATTTCAGAGCACCTTTTCTTGGCTAAAGGGGATTAAATGGTGCTTTGCTTTAAAAATTCACCATTACTTTGCTCAGATACATCACAGGGGCCCCAGCAGAGCAGTGGCAAGATGCTACCCTGCTAGCAGTTAAGTAACAAACCCTTGAGCTTCTTACTTCTCCTGTCAGTCTAGGGTGTTAAACATTGGATTTTCTTCCCAACAGGTCTAGAAATGAAAACAGGTTCTGTAACCCTAATGATAAACCTTATGATGTCACGGTATGACAACCCTCTTCCTCTCCAAAAACCATAAGCACAAATACTAGTTGTCTTTGGAAGGGAAGCAGGGTTATGTGTTCCTTCTCAACATGTAGGCTGCAATATTGCTTTGTTTTATTTAAGCACCGCAGGGTCTACGGACAGCAATAATTTGGGTCATTTTTTATTGCCTGTATAAGTGGTAGAAGTGTTTCAGAGTAGTGGCCAATATAGAAGAGAATACAAAATACATTCTTCAGCCCCTATTCATTCATTAAGTTTCCATAGCTGAGCACAGGATTAGTGTGTGCTTTGGCAGTGAAAAATAACATTTTGGAAAGAGCAAACTTCATCGGTAGTGCACTTTGGAGCAATACTAGAGGCTCTAAGTTATGTTAAGCCAACTGTAAGTTTGACAGAAGAAATATATCTGTCTCTTTGAACAAATAATTGGAGGACTATATGTAGATCTATGTGAGCTGTTCTCTTAGTTTCAACTTGGTAATTTTCACGTGAAGTAAAGGTGAGATTATAGTAGGCAAAGTCATGAGCCTACTATTGGGGAAAAAGAATATACCATACCAAGATGTTGGTCATCGCTTCTCATTAGGATTCAACAAGTGTGTGAGGGAAAAAGAGGATCTCCTAACTCTTCAACCCTCTTCCTTTGCCAGTTGAGGAGAGGATGGGTAAGTAAAGGCAAGTTAGTCCTTCTTACTCCTGTGTATCCAAACTTCACGGGACAGGGGACCAAATAAGTAGGAATATAGAGAAAGGGATAATATATATATCTGGTTTTGTGCATGAATAAGAGAAGGTAAATACAGACTTCTGTCTAATCCATATCACAATCTGACCCTAGATACTTATATTTTAAACCTCAGTTTTGCATTGCTTAATAAGTAAACCATACAGTTTGGTTAAAAAAAAAAAAAAAAAGTTAAAAAGAAAAGAAAAAGAAAAGATGAATAAAGGTGCAGCATATGCTACTTGGTAGCAAGAGGTAAATTTTATGCTCCCTCTTCCTCACAAAATATTTTTTTCTCTTTGCAAATATAGCAAAGTCTTTCTGTCTTCTTCAACTATGAATAGAAAATCTGTCTTGAAGAGGTAGATTTCAATGATCCTGTTAATTGAAATAATGAGATATATCTTGAGGTTGACTTTTTAAGTGTTATGTAGGCATGCAGTTACAGAACTCCATGTGGATTTTGTTCCCTACTTGAAAAAGACATCCTTTCCTTGTTCCCTCAGAAAACATTTAACATTGTGGTGAAATCCACCTCTCCCATCAACAGACAGAACTAAATATCCATTTCCTTCAGACCTCCTTCAGTTGTGCCACCTGCTGCCATTAATCATGCCCTTTTGTTCACACAAAATTAGAAGGTACTATGATGAATGTGCCATGCGGTAGGGAAAATGTACATGTATACCAAAGAGAGCTTAGCACACTTTTGATGTCTTATATTCATATATGATGTAGTGCTAAGTATCCAGTGGCTAGCTACTTTATTGTGGTTTGTACATCATGAGCTATTGTCAATTCTGTAAGCATGGAGTTTCTGTGTAATTCAAGTATTCTGAGTGTGAGACTCTCCTGGAAAACCAAGAGAGTTGACTGCAGAACAAAAAAGTTTAATAAGAGATGGTAGTCAATAATGGAGAACAAAGTTTTCATTAAGCATAACTGGTAGATGAATAGGTTGCATGGTTCCTGTATAAAACAGGACATTTTTGAGATGGAAAGATATGTATCAGAAAAAAACTATATATATTAAGACATGACCCTTAAAAGCAGTTTGCATTCATATAAACTGCTTGTTCTTCATAAGTGGAAAGGAAAAATGCCATGTCTTCTATATGTGTGTCCATACCTTGTTGTAAAACATGGTAGTGAGACCCACAGAAGTCTTTCCATTGACTTCAGTGGGCTTTGGGACAGACCAGTAATTGCCCCTTTGCAATGAAGTTACAAGGTACCTTCAGAGAGGCTCATTGTTTCCATTCTGCTTTGGATAACAGTCTACACAGTTAAGAGGCTTTTTATGTGTACTAGTTGAAAAGAAGCAGATCCTGATTGCCTCTGCAAAAGAAAGCAGTGAGTGAGACACCTTAGCATTTTAATACTATTAGCTTCCAGGTTAAACAGGCCTGATTCTCTTTTTGAAAATCTCTGTACTGTTGAAATTATGCAAACGCTATCATGAATTTCTTGGGGGGAGGGAATCAATGACATATTTCCCTCTTTATCCATCTAGCTCTGGGGAATGTAATGCTTCTGAATATGCTGGCTTTTGTAAGAGATGTAAAACAGTCTGTGATCATTTTGTGGTCATTAAGGATTTTTTTTTTATTTTTTTCATGAATAGAGGTGTTAGTGAAGGTGTTCTGGCCTAATTCCAGCTGTGGTAATTGGATTTTTTTTTTTTTCTACCTACACACATTCCTTCAGCAGTTTCATTTGGCTATGTATGTTGGGCTCAATTCAATGTTGCCCCATTGGCCCCCTTTATGCCAGTTAGACTGATGCGAACAGGCACTAACACAACTGTAAACCCTTCTTTCCCACCCATACAGCCCTTTGTTTCAAGCACATCATTAATGCTTGAGACAGCTGCACCAGATGTGCTTTCAGTTGTATATCTGTACCACCTCTCCAGCAGTAGAAGGCAGGGGGACATTTCTAGATGGGAGTATCCAGTAGGGACCCAAAAAGTTGGTTGAATCAGATATTACAGAAAAGCTAGAAGCTCGAGGCTAGATCTTCCTTCTAACAATGATTATCGGCCCTGTTGTGGCACACGGGAGCACGGTCAAGTCAGCTTGTGGCAGGAGGTGTTACCTGCTATGTGGTGTGCTGTTGAATTTTTAGTGATGGATGGTATCAGCAACAGGTAGGGATAATTCTCTTTGTGTAACCTGGTAAAACGCCTCCAAAATTCCCCAGAAAGAGAGGGGATGAGTATACTGAAGACAGAATTACAATATTGGATGGGAGAAAGGAAAAAACAAGTGAGGCTGGGAAAAGGAGATGAATCAAAATGATACATCCTTTACTCTGACAGATATGAGGACATAATGGAAAACAAGGTTACTGTCCTTGTGCTGTTGTGTCTAACTGAAACCACAAAGGATGATGAAAGGTCAGATACAGTGCAAAGTCTAAATTTTCATCTAGATTTTGAATAGTTTCCAACATGGTATCTGCTACCAGTTTTAGCTTGTCTACCCTTTGTTATAGAGGCTCTTCAGCCAGGCATGAGATACCCTGGGATGCCTGAACAGCCTGAGGATTTCTGAAGCTTGAGCTACCAGACATTTGCTTTTTTTTTTTTCCTTTTTTTTTTCCTTTTTTTTTTTTTTCTTTTTTGTCTCCCACAGAGATTAGCAGGAGTTAATATGAGGCCAAGCAACCAAAATTTTCTCACAGCCATTCATTGTCTTATGTAACTCCAGACATGCCACAGCTTTTAATCCAAGGATAAACCCGTACCTCTACACCAGAATGAAGATAAAACAAGTCCTTTCCCTCATCAAAAAGACATTAGCTAACACTGTATTTAACTGGTCTGGAACTTCCCCCAGTTGTCCCCAGTGGTGTTTTTGTTTTTTTTTTTCCTTTTTTTTTTTGTATGTTTGTTTTTAATTAAGGGTGACCAAGGCTCCCAAATTAGTGCATGGCCCAAAATCCAGTATTAAAAGTCTGTAAGGAACTGCATAACATCACCTCAGGTGAGAAACAGATTTTCTCTCCCTGGTCTGTGACCAGCAGCAGAAATGGTGATCACTGATATGTGTTTTAGAGAGGACAGGTGTGTGGGATAAACAGAAACACCATATTTAAGAAAATATGGAATCACACAGAATCACGGAATTGTAGGGGTTGGAAGGGACCTCAAGAGATCATCGGGTCCAACTCCCCTGCCAAAGCAGGTTCCCTAGAGCAGGTTGCCCAGGTAGGCATCCAGAAGGGTCTTGAATATCTCCAGAGAAGGAGACTCCACAACCTCGCTGAGCAGCCTGTCCCAGTGCTCTGTCACCCTCACCGTGAAGAAGTTCTTTCACATGTTGGTGTGGAACTTCCTGTGATCCATTTTGTGGCTGTTGCCCCTTGTCCTCTCCCCACAAAGCACTAAACAGAGGTTGTACAAATCCCTTTGTCTCCCACACTTAAGGGATTTATAAACATTAATACGCATGTGTAGTGTTAATGCATATTACTCTTCCAAGGAGTATTAGCATGTTCGATCTGAAAACTTCACCATATGCTATCAAGGGTTAAAGAGACTTTTCAAAATCAGCTTCTATTGGACTATTTTGTTTGGCCAATATCTGACATGGGCTGTACTGAGCACGTTTTGCCACCTGGCCAATTTTTTTTCCTGCCAAGCTATTCATTCAGGCTTGTGGTGTGAAAAATAGATGTTTAATAGTCAATGAAGTACTATAGTGGGTAATAGTTTATAAATTTCCATGACTTATTATGCTCAGCCTAAGTGACTGTTTATTAAGTGTATTTAAAGCCCCCCATCTCATTAACTTACAGTACTGGTGATTCCCTCCTCCTACCACTGCTGTTTTTAATGGAAAATATTCACCCATGTCTTTTGCCTAGGGCATGTGAAACAATTCTGTGGAAAAGAGGCTGCTTGGATAAGAACAGGACATCATCCTTGGCTAGGTACAATGTGTTTATCATTTTCGGAAGCAGAGTGAATCTGAATTATGAGGTATATATGTTATGGACCAAAAAAAACTATAAATGGCCTTTGTATAAAGTACAGCTGCCAATAACCGACCCCTTTCTGCTTTAAGTTTACACTGAATGACATGGTCAGTTTTATCAGTAAAACGTGTCTCATGTAAAAAAATATTAAACCAGCAACTTAATTATGAAATACCACCTTTATTTTCTTAATAAAATTCCACAGTACTTCAGGGAAATATTGCAGACTAAGGTTAAATAAATGCTCTGTTAACAAAAAACAGGCCTGGTCTTAACTTAAGGGGATCTACTATTAACTGTGCAATGGGAAGGTGAGTTTCTATAGCTGGGAAAGGCTGCTAATTATAAAAATATATTTTGTTCCCCTGTATTAACCTCGGGTCCAATGAAAAAGGTCATTGGTTGCTCTTGCTAAGTTCTGTGAAATCCATCAAAAGGATCCCACTGATATCAATGAGATGAGCAGCCTTTTGCCATATATAAAATGTTAGTAATGCTATGTAACTAAAACTCCAGATTAATTCCTGAAGTAATCTTCTCTAAGCTACTAGGATCATAATACAGTTAGGTTTAGTTCTCTAACATTTGGCTTCCTGCTTCACGTTCTTTACATCCCTTTCCCAAAGGTCTCTTGGAAGCTGAAGATAAACATAAGATAACGGGGATATGAAAACAGAAAAAATGGTAAGTACTCTGATAACATGAAGAGACGACTGTAATAAGGTAAAAGGATGTTGTGCATAAAATCCCCTCTGTTAAGGAAAATCTGAAAATGTTTTTTTCTGAACAGATGTTAAAGAACAGCTTGTTCCATATAATACCAGATGTCATGTATGGAAACAACCATAGCCATTAACACTCTTTGCTGGGTTAAAAACTGGCTGGACGGCCAGGCCCAGGAAGTAGTATTGAACAGAGTGAAATCCAGCTGACAACTGGTCACCAGTGGTGTACCCTAAGGGTCGTTGTTGGGGCCCACCCTCTTTAATATCTTTATTGATGATTTGAATGAGGGGATTGAGAGCACCCTCAGCAAATTTGCAGATGACACCAAGTTGGGGGGAAGTGTTGATCTGCCAGAGGGTAGGAAGACCATGTAGAGGGATCTGGACAGGATGGGTTGATGGGCAGAGGCCAATGGGATGAGGTTCAACATGGCTAAGTGTTGGATCCTGCACTTTGGCCACAACGACCCCATGAAGTGCTACAGGGCTCGGGGAGAGTGGCTTGAAAGCTGTGCAGTGGAAAAGGATCTGGGTGTGCTGACTGATGCTTGCCTGAACATGAGCTGGCAGTGTGCCCAGGTGGCCAAGAAGGCCAAGGGCACCCTGGCTTGTATCAGGGATAGTGTAGCCAGCAGGACCAGGGAGGTGATCATTCCCCTGTGCTATGCTCTGGTGAGGCTGCATCTCGAGTACTGTGTTCAGTTTTGGGCCCCTCCTTCTTGTACAGAAGGACATTGAGGCCCTGGAACATGTCCAGAGAAGGGCTACGAAGCTGGTGAAGGGCCTGGAACACAAGTCCTGTGAGGGGCGGCTGAGGGAACTGGGGTTGTTCTCTACGACCACCTGAAAGGAAGTTGTGGGGAGATGAGGGATGGCCTCTTCTCACAGGTAACTAGTAATAGGACTAGAGGGAATGGCCTCTAGAAGCACTAGAGGAGGTTTAACTTAGAAATGAGGAGACATTTCTTCTCAGAAAGAGTAGTCAGGCACTCAGACAGGTTGCCCAGGGAAGTGGTTGCATCACTGTCCCTGGGGGTCTTCAAGGAAAGGCCGGACCTGGTGCCTAGGGGCATGGTTTAGTGGGTGACATTGGTAGTGTGGTGATGACCTTGAGGTAGGACCAGATGATCTTGGAGGTTTTTTTCCAACCTTAATGATTCTACGATCCCTCAAATTGCGCTGGGACAAGCAGAGCAAGAGCAGGGGCTTCTGGGCTGCACAGAGCAAACAGGTCCCTTTTGGCCTGCTCCCAGGTGCTTCTACATAGCAGATAGAAAAACACACACCCTGGTGTTGAGGGGGTTAATGTGACATTGCAAAAGGAGCTTTGCTGTTTGCTGTTTTGTTTGGCCAATAGCTGACACAAGCACATTTTGCCACCTGGCTAATTTTGTGCTGCCAAGTTATTCATTCAGGCCAGTGGTGTGAAAAAGGAGACATTTAATAGTCAACAGAGCACTATATAGGGTAATAGTTTATGATTTTCCATGACTACTTAGATGCTGTTCAAATTATTCTTGATTGAGCAAATTATTCTTTTTAAAAATCATCCCATTCATTTATTTACTAATGATTCTATCCCCTCCCTCCCATCCACCATTTTTTTTTTTAGTGGGAACTATCAGCCGTTTCCCTGTTAGAGGGGATTTAGCCAAATGACAGCTAAGAGTGCATTGCAGCTTGCGTTACAACTTCGAAAGACTTTTCATCCAGGCACTAAAAGTGGAGCAGAATTCCTTTCTGAACTTTCCAGGGAACCCTGCGTAGCGCTTAAGATGGGGCAGTGTGAAAACACTAACAGCTTGGTTTAGCAGACGAACAATGTAATGCTCCCTCCTCGAAATGATTTTCTTTTTCATTGAGTTAGCTTCTTTTTGTTATTGTTCTGCTCGTTTGCTCTTTTTGAAGCCGAACGAGCCCCTGAAGGGGGTGCTCTCCGAAGGGTTTGTGCCAGGCAAACCCTGGCACAACCCTTTTGGTGAGGCGGGAGCGTGGCGCTGCCGGGCCAGGAGGCCTCGCTGGCCCAACAGGGAGGGCAGGGCCCAGCACAGCCCCACGGACCAGCCGGGTCTGTAGCGATAGGTACGAGCTGTGCTCAGACAAGCACCAGTCAAGGCCCAGCCGAGCTAGGCTGGAGGCAGCCCCGACACCGGGGTGGGCTGGAGTGGCTCCCTGTGGTGAGGGGAGGCAGGGCAGGAGGTGCCCTCTGAGGGCCTGCCCCTTCCTGGCCCTGCCCTGCCCTGCCAGCCCACCCTTTTTTATTTATTTGACCAAAAAGTCCTCAACTCTTTGTTGACAGGAGACTCGTGGCAAGGCCACCCTAGATTAATTTTGAAACAGCAAAGCTTTCCTCAAGATCGCCCACCTGTTAATAGATGAATTATCTCGCAAGATAGTGGCGTGTAGGTGCTTAACTGCATACCAGAGACTGTATTCTTGGCAGATCTATTTTGTACTCATTTGCTTTTACAAAAACTTCCTCCCATGGCAGAGGCACACAGAGATAGAGGGCAATCCATTGCCTTCTGTAGCAAACATACTGGCACTGTACGTAAATTGGATTTCCAGATTTTTGCTTACCTTTGCTAAGCCAAAGGGAGGAGGGCCCATCAAGTCATCTTGCTCTACAGATGCTAGTTTATTAAGCTATAATGTCAAAAGTTGTCAAAGCAGAATTACGCTCACTTTTATGAGTTTATCTAGTGTCATATAGTTTAGAAAAACACTGGTGTTAATATTCATTGTATGGCTTAATTGGTTTGATAGTGTAGCAACACCAGTATCATGAGATGCTTGTTATGTAGGTCTTCATGTTTTTTCAAAGTCTTTATTATTATGACAGCAAAGTCTTGTTCATTAAAGTTTCACAATCCATTTTCATTAGGATGAAACTGATTCTGTAAATGAACAGTTGCTCTGAAAAATCAAACCCTTGCAGCTATCACAGGGGAGGTACAAAGTCTGTATTAATTATCAGGAATATGGTGTCGATCGAAGATGTTAATTGCCCTGATGGTTAGTTATTTGGGGAATTGCCATGCATTTCATGCAGGGATAATAAAAATGAATTTTTAAACAAAGAGATCTTAAAATAATATATAATCTGTAGAGAATACCAACATCAAAGGCTTATCTCAAAGCTTTGAATTTTATCTTTGTGGTCCAAAATGTTAAAGATGAACTGAGCAATATTTCAGCTGGTTCAAGTTTGTGAGAGGAAAACAAAACAAGAGTTAATTAACTGTTATTACAAACCTTTTCAACTTTAATTTGACTTTCAAATATTAGCATTTATCTATGAACTATGCTGCTGGGTTTGACAAATTAGCTTTCACAGAACAAGTTTAATTAGGCTTCATTGTGCTTTTATGTCACTTTGCACAGTTCCAGACAATGAATGGATTAACTTACTAAAAGTCATATGTTTAAAAGAATTTGTTGAATGTTAAAAAGGTTGACAAAGTTGCAAAGCTTTACCAGCCTAATGTGGAAAAGATGCATCCTGTTTAGCATGATAACACGCATTCTTTGTAGAGAACAGCTGGTGCTGACATGCACATCCCTGCCTGGCTGCTGTCAATACCCACAGGCTACTTCACCCCCATACCACCCTGAGAAAGTGTGGGATGTGTGTTTACTACCAAAGCCTAATATCTGTAAAAGACAGGAAAGAGAGTGAGCTACAGGTGCATGCCACATGACTCGGTGTATTGGTTCTCTAGCTGGAATAAAATTATCTCAGTGTGAACTTGCATTTCTATTTTATTTTTAGATTTATTTATTTTTTTTTTTTTTACCAGTGGCATTAGGAATGCTTCGTGTTTATGCCTGAGAGATCAAAAAAAGAAAAAGAAAAATGAGACTGTGAAGCAATATAGTAGCAAGCTGATTTGACTTAACATAATCCCAGGTGAGAGTGGTGAATGTTGTAGAAAAGTATAAATAGATCCTGAAAATTCAGAAATTTGTTCTTGTTGCTCTCCCTTACAAAGGGATATGTGGGTATGTCACTTTAGGACTCACTAAGTACAATAGATCCTGTCTGTGTATAGGACAGCTTGATTTGTTGCTGGGTATTAGACCTTTTTTGGTTCTCTCTGACTTCAGTTCCTTCACTGGAGCCACATACATGCTGCTTCTCTGCCATGCTGGGGATATTGTAGACTTGACTTCTGTCTAAACAAGAGCTCAGTAGAATCAGGAAACCTTGACCTGATAGGTGATTTCCTGGAAATTGTGCTCAATAGGAAAATATCCTGCCAGTTTATGTCATGGACAGAAAGAGGAGCAGAACTTTTTCTAGGGAGTAGAGGCCATGTACCTGACCAGTGAATGCCATGGTGCAGGGAGAAAGAAATAAATGACAGAAGATTCTGAAGACAGTATATTTATGCATGCTTACCCATTCTAAATCCCCTAGCTGTTTCCTGATGGCCAGTATAATTTAGGTTAACATCAGGAGTGTGCTAACTCATGGCTGGTTTGCTGTCTGCAAGGTTGTTCAGTGCAGCTGATACTGCACTAGGATCATCCAGTGAGGACATTTAGTTTCCAGACATAGCCTGTATTCCACGGGCAAGAAAAAACTATGCCGTATATGTTGATTTAGTGGCTCAGTGCCAGTTAAGGATTTTCTCCATGCAGAAGGATTGCCTGGGGGCCTGCTGGTTTTCTGTCTAAAAGATGAGGGTGTGTCCTGCTATCTTTTGGGTGAGAATGCTGCTGGAGACTGTGGGTTAGCTGAGGGAAGAACACTATGAGTGAAAGACAAGAAGAAAGGCCATGCGTGAGAAACTCATAAAATTAAATAAACAACAACAACAACAACAACAAAAGAGGTTAGAAAGATAAGGAAGATAAAATAGGGAAGGAATGTGATGGATGGGACTAGAGGGAACAAGGAAACCATTATTAAGCAGCACTGAGAAAACAACTAGAAATGTTGCAATGGGGAGAAAA